CAATGCGACTTTATTAGTATGAGAAATTTATTTCAAGGACATTTAACATGTTTCGCAATGACAATTAATGTAATATGATGCGACGTTGCCAAATAATAATACATATAATGTGATATAATTGAGATGCGACGTTGACAAATTGTACAATATCTGTTAATATACAGCTGCTTGTTGGCGTAATTTAAGATTTTTTTCAAGAATAATGATCATTAATGTAATGTAATACTCAAATGTGTTGCCAAATAATATATAATGTGATATAATTGAGATGCGATTTTTGTACCGCTCAGGATGCAAAGGTGCCACTCCAGGCACCGGTTGTAGAATTTACGGGTCAGCCATTAACCAATCGTACCGTTAGGATATGACGTGCCGCTCAGGGTATGGCAGATTCATAGATTGGACGTGGCGGTGTCGTTTGGTAAGGGCTCGAGATCCTCCAATTAATATAGGCCAGCTTTCGTGGTGTAAGAAGTTTTATTGTCACTTACGATTACTCGATGTGTTAAAATCTTACGATGTCTCGCAGTAGCGCTCGCAGTAATGGAGATTCTCACAGAATTCGTGTGTCTTCTTGACTTTTCGGGGAAAATCCCTCCCGAGATGATCGAGGCTTACGTTTTTATATACAGGGTGTTTTCTCTAACTCGACCATTTAAAATATCTCCGTTGTTTTTGATGATATGGGAAAATACTACAGGGAAAAGTTGTTCGATTGGAAGGGACACATATTATGGCGAGCGAAAAAATTTTCGCCAGGGCATAGTTTTTGAGATTTCGAGTTCATCGCGATTTTTTAAAATGGAATAGCATATTTTCATTAATGTAGTAATGCAGTTCATAAAAAAACAAATTCAATCATATAAGATATGTTGGCCTTCAAATGACCTTGGACATTAAAAAATTACATTATGGAAAAAAGAAAAGTTAACATACTTAAGTGTTTTCAATGAAGATATTTATTTACTTTATTTTAGATGTTCGAAATGATTGCCATCATGTTGGAATCATAGAAACGATTTGTCGACAATTGATGTGTTAGCTACTGCCATCAAAACAAAGATTTTCATTCTCGCACGAAGTTGTGTCTATTTCACAGTATGTTTACAAACATTTACACCTAGAAACACGAATCGTCGGAAATACTTAAAGACATTTAGTCTTGACATCGCGTTAAAGCATTGTTTCTGCATCATACGCATTTCTGCAATATCAACAAAAAGATACTCAAGAAGAAAAAATAGAAATGATTTTAATTTATGGAGAATCAGGCCGAAACTCAGTGCGAGCTACACAATTGTATGCGGAAAAATATCTTGATCATCGTTATCCATCCAGACGTACATTTGATAAACTCGTTCAGTCATTTTGAAACGGGTAGTGTCACTCCAGCTAAAAGAAGTCGTCAGAAGACAAAATGTGACGAAGAAGCGGAAATCTTTGTTTTGGCGGCAGTAGTTAACAACAGTCCACATGTTAGTTGTCGACAAATTGCTTCTCAATGTGTGTGTGTATCTGTTAAAAGTGTTTGGAAAATTTAAAAACGCCAAATTTCATTCTTATCACATATGCTTACATCAATTTCTTGGTGATAATTAAAAATAGACAAGGTGGATTTTAAAAATAGACAAATATTCTGCGAATGGGCCCTACACCAGTCAGAGATTAATCAATAATTCTTTGATTATGTATTGTTTACAGACGAGTCATCTTTTACAAATCATGGACAGTTAAATATACACAATATGCATTATTGGGCCGTTGACAATCCACATTGGCTTCAACAAGTAGTACCACGTCAATATCCATGGAGTGTAAATGTTTGGTGTGATATTATTGGAAATCATGTTATTGGTCCATTTTTTTGGAAGAAGGAAATTTAAATGGACAAAAATATGCAAATTTTTTAAGAAATGAATTACAAATATTATTACATGAAGTTCCATTGAGCCACCGTATTAGAATGTGGTTACAGAAGGATGGTTGCCCGACACATAATGCACTTATCGTACGCAATATACTTAAAAAATGTTTCCCAATCGCTGGATTGGGCGTGGTGAACGAATTTGTTGGCCGGCTCGATCGCTAGATCTTACGCCACTTGACTTTTTTTTATGGGGATATTTAAAAAATCGAGTTTATTATGATATTCCCACAACACCGGAAAACATGCAAGAAAGAATTCGACATGCATGTATCGATATCAATCAGAAACACCCGGAAATCATTGAAAGTGCGAAACAATCATTTAGTTTTCGCACTCAAAAATGTATGGAAGTTAATAACAATCATTTCGAACATCTTTTAAAGTAAAGTAAATAAATATCTTCACTGAAAACACTTAAGTATGTTAACTTTTCTTTTTCCTATATAAATGTGATTTTTTGATGTCCAAGGTTCATTTAAAGGATAACATATCTTATACAGTTGAATTTGTTTTTTTATGAACTGCATTACTACATTAATGAAAATATGCTATTCCATTTTAAAAAATCGCGATGACTTCAAAAACTATGACCTTGAGAAAAATTTTTCGCTCGTCATAATATGTATCCGTTCCAAACGAACAACTTTTCCCTGTAGTATTTTCCCGTCAAAACAACGGAGATATTTTAAATGATCGAGTTAAAAGAAACATCCTGTATACAAATTAGGCCGAATTAATGCGTGATTGCATTTTAAAGTAAAGTATATCGTCGGTTTTGAAATCAAAAGTAGGTGACTTGATTTGTGATGTTTTAATTGCTGGTCTGCAGAGAATCTGCAGACGTAGATTTTGGATATGACCTATATGGATCATAACATATGTTGCAAAGTAATACAACATTTGCTAATATACAGCTGCTTTGTTAGCATAATTTAAGATTTTTTTCAAAAATCACAATCATTAATGTAATTCAAGATTTTATAATTCAGCCAACACCGAAATGGGGTTTGTTGGGCCAATATCTCATAAATAACCTTATAAACTCAACTGCTTAAATGAAATCTGCTTATATCAATATTTTTATTCTGTGTTAAAGATTGTACATATTTTATATTTAATTATTATTATAAAGAGCTAAGATTTTAGTTTTTCTGATTTTGTTAATTAAAGTATTTAAAAAGAATTTACAAATATTACAAATTATTATATTTAAGATGAAAGTAATAAAAATTTGATTAACACACACATAATCTTTTCATGTTTTTAATAATATGTAATCTCATTAAACAATCATCTTCATGATTCAACTCCTTCGAAAATGCACCACATGTCCACTTGCATATAATTAATGTAATCTTTTTCTTATTTATGAGATATATCAAGGATTTATAAGTACTCAATTATTAAGCCAGATGAACAAGCAACGTTTTAAAGTTAAATTTATCATTAGTTCATCTATAATTGTATGAAGATTTATAATAATTTAAAGAAAAAGTATCACAACACACACTAGCCCCGCTCTACCCTACATCGAGACTTCGTACTAGATGATAACACTTCTTCTACCGAATTGCAGTTTACGTTATCACATAATGCTCCACATTAATATATATATCAAATCAATTTACTTATATATAAATGTGCTTGTGTATGTAATGTATATATAAATGTACTTACAATTTTCCCATCAGTTGACGCTCGTCTACAATATTAACGTCAATGGAAAAAGATTTTGGCATATGATGAACAACGTTTGTTATTATTTTATATGTTTACATTATCAGTTATTTTGTCAAATCTATCAGGCAATAGCGATAAATGTATTTGTATCTTGCACATAACATCTAACAAAAACACACTCCATTATTGTAAGACTCATTATCAACTATCTGACTGATCTACTGACTTGGAAAATGACAGCGCGGGGGAATGTGCGAGATTTTATAATAAAGTTGTTCGTTGAAACATGATACCATTCCAAGGAAAAGAACAATGCCTCGGTCAAAAGTTTACATCTCAGCCGAAAAGTATATCAAATGATATCATGAATAAACTTTAGCATTTTTATCAGTTATAATCAGATCAAGGCATATCAACAGCCGAAAGTACAATCCAAGTCAAAAGTTTATTCCTCAACCGAAAAGTATATCACGCGTTCGAACGATTCCACGAATAAACTTCGGCATTTATCAGTTGTAATTAGATCATCAGTTATATGTTACGCGATGTGGACAATGTGAAATTATTATATGTAATAAGTGTTTATATATAAAACCATCGACCGTGCTCTTCATGCTCGAACTTAAACCATGTATAGAATACGTATTGTGAACTATGCCAATATGTGAATGGTGTGAGTGAAAAGTTTAAATATTTCGTGACTTATTTACGTCAAAACTGTATAAATAACAAATATGATGCTATAAATATGTTTTGTAAGATTTATGATAAGAATTCATATATTGAATACGAATTGATAGTATATGCTATAGATAACATTGTATATAATGCATTACATAGAAACTAAATAAAAATAAAAAAAAATCTCAGTTCGTAATTATTCCTTCCTTCTTTTCATCCTTCTTTCTATCTTATCTCTATGGTATCGTATTACGCGCGACAAATCGCGCTTATTGCATAGTGCATTCGAATCGTTAAAATAAAATAAAATATAATATAATATAATAAATAAATAAAATATTCCGTGTGTTGGAAAAATAAGATGACGACACATAAGAGGAAAAATGGTAAGTATTAATGATAAGTATACATAGTAAGTATTACGTGCTGTGGGGACCGCGTGGCAGTGGTGACGAATCGCGAAGACTGGCGACGAATCGCGTCCGGAGGCGGATCGCGCCCGGAGGCAGCGGCGGGGATCGGCGGCGGCGGCGGCGAACCGCACCCGTCAGTGACCCCACGTGACGTTATCATCGCGACGCGGACGTAATTTTCCCGCACATCCCCATTCTGCAGACCCCACGCTACCCTGTCCCTCACCCCCCCCCTCCGTCCTCGGTACTTTCTTCACAAGATACAAATCCGGATGAGTAGAGCGATGTAACTCGTGCTCTTAGAACGCTCCAGCGGATTTTCCGTGATAGTCGTCGAGTAGATAGGTTACGAAGTTGATATGCTGCACTTTACTGATCGTAAACCACTCGGTGGTCCAATTTGGCGTGTAAGCCTTCTCAAAAATCGTTTTGTACTTGCTCACACGTACCGAATCACCTACTTCGAATTTTGCAGGAACCGCGATCTTCATCGCGCTGTACACCATGTCCAAGAGTCTTTCGGTGGGAGTACGTCGGCAAGGTCGCATGCCGTTAGTGTGATCCTTGCGCGCGTTGTAATCCGACACGAGATGCGGCAACTCGTTGACCCACTTGTAATTGCCGTTGAGTGTAAATATCTTCCACATATAATTTTTTATTGTGTGATAGACAATAAATATTAATTAAGCATTATGTGGAATAGTGGTTAATGTCATGTTTTTTCAAGATCTTTTCAAGATTTTCTGCATCAGTATTGTAAAATTACTTTCTCATATCCGTTTGTAAATTTTTCGGACATCTTCCATTCAAACGAATTATCTTATTATGATAGCGTCAGCCGTCTCGCTTCCACACTTGCTCTTGAGCGGTACAGTCTACACGTACTCAACACATCGATGACGGTGAGTTTGTAATGGTGGCCTCTGTTGAAGCTCGAATACGGGCGCATCTCGATGATATCAGCTTGCCACAGATCGTCGTATCGCGTCTTCGCGGAAAATTTCTTCTCGCCGGAACATGTAATTCCTCGACTCTCTCAGAGCTAATTTTTCTCTTTTCACTGCATCTCTTTTTCATGATTCAATGTGTAATACACAGGATACAAGAAGAAAATGTATTGTTTCTCGCTGATGCTGCTCGACTGGCCCGTTTCATCGATACGTAATTTAATTTATGATAAGGTCGACTTCATGAAGTTCCTCGATGACCGACAGCATCTTGTTGTCATGAGCGTTGTTGCCTGCTCATTGCGAAGCCTCGAGCAATCGTAGATGATCCATCAGCTCGTTTGGATCATCCAAGTGCACATAATCGATTGCGTTGTCATTTAGTGTCATGGCGCGAGATAATCCCTTTCCAGATTTATTCTTCTGTTTCTTGAGCGTGATCGACACCAACGATGCGATTATGTATTTGTACTTCCTTGTATACTACTATTTGTATCCTCTGTTACTCAATTATCCACCCTGCGAATGATGCTTGTGTTTGTGCGTGTTCATCGCCAGCAGTATGCTCTTGTACTTGTGTATATCGTCTTCCGTGTAGAAGAAATTGTCAGAAATTCTCTTAAAAATCAACTCGTAAAGAGTGTACCGTCGTACCGTACTTACTTTAATAATTATGTTGTACGCATTATCCATGTCGAAACGTTTGTTGCTAATTAATCCATCCTTACGTAAATAAACGTCGTGCACATTATCTATAACACTTTCTTTATCTGGCGCTCAGGACAGCCTCGACGTATTTTTGATCCAGCGGGCCCAAACCGGCTCGCAACGCCTCTCAACCTTCCGACATTTGCAACTAATTTTGAACCTTTGTTGTGAGTAAGCTATCAGTCATTTCGGAAACGTTCTCCAATGACTCTATCGTCGGTACGGTCGTCGTTCGTGAGGTAGATATTATCGGTGGATCGTCGCACGCGGCTGTTCATGATCGATCATCGGATTTACTCGGGGTCGCGAAACGCTCAAACATCTTGCTCGCTTCCTCTTCCTCCTCCTCCTCCTCCTCTTCCTCCTCCTTCTTCCTCTTACATTTAGAGACAGATACCGTGTCATCTCTCTCTTTGTTGCGTGCACGCCATGGCTGTCGGCAAAAAATCGCAGAGGTTGGATAAGAGATTTAAAATGTCTGTTCAACGCAATGTTCTCATCGATTCTACTGATCTTCAATGCGCGATATTTCTTGCAGATCGATTCATTCTCGATCTCCCTCGCAATTTTTTCACGCTCGCGCATATCTACCATGTTCGTCTTAGGCGAAGTATCGACAACGACTGACCACGTTACGGTATCGTGTACTCGTTAAATCCCTTTCTGTATCTATTGTTTGTAAGCGCACTGTCTTTGTCTATTACTAGAAATCCATATTTTTGTTGCCAACAGTTGCGGCATAACTCGTGCAAAATTCGTCGATATGTTGGTATTTACATGATCATCGTAAAAGTGTTTCAAGTATCATCCTGTTTGAACAGAATCAGCAGATTTGCGTTGTGGCGTATCAAATGTTTAGGTATTCTCGCGTACGTTTGACAGAGATAGAAACAGTCGACGTTCGTGTAGTGGCTCATCGAGAAATATTCTCTCACCACATCCTGCTTCGCATGCTATGTCATCAAAAATAAAAATATAATTTGTCCGCGCCTCGTTCTGTGGAATGACATCACTATTGTTGGAGAACATAAAGTAGTCGATTTCGTCGATAGGTGTAAACAAATTTTCGAAATATCGATACTTTGACTGTTACAGCGATTTCGAATAAATATACACGTTCTCAAAACGTACGCCATTCGGTTTCTCGAACAAGCTTATGAGAACATTGATTTTACCGCAATTCGACGGGCCTCAAATAATTGTGCGTATAATACTCGGCAGCATTTCGCCGTGCTTACGTTTCTCCGCACTGTCTCCCGTTATTCGCAATTTCGCATCACAGTTCGTGACGCGTATCGTCGGTGGTTGCTGCACGAATCTCATTTTTGCATTATACACTACGTGCTCCCGAATACCTATTAAAAATACCTATTTAAAGGCGCGCGAATCTGCGAATCGCGCAGTAGCAAAATGTATCTCGCTCTGTATCATCCCTCCAACATTCTGGACTTGAGAGCCGAACAGTTGCAGTATATACAAAAGTTCATACTGTTAAGCGTGTACGGTGACTATATCAATCATGTGTGGGACAAGCTTCCGGAACACGTGAAGGCGGATACGGAGGTTTGAACCTATCGTCGCTGCGAGCACTACAATCAGCCGTGGCTACGGACGCACATCGACGATCCCGCAGCTAAGATAAAGGACTGTAGCGAATGTTGGCGTCGCGTGGCGGTCTGCTGAATCGAGCGATAAATGCACTTTCTTTCGAGTTACGTATTCCAGACTACCAGTTTTGCCCGGGCACTCGGTTGATGAAACGATTAGCCAGAGGTGACGCATAAATCCGCTGGACTCGGCATGCCGAGAACACGACGTTGCGTATTCTCAAAGCACTAATCTCACCGATAGACACGTTGTTGACAAGGTACTCGTCGATAAAGCGCTAGGACGCGTCATCGCGAAAGATTCGGCTCTGAGTGAGAAAGCCTCCGCTGCTGCTATCTGTAGCGAGGAAGACCAAGATCGGCATGGGCATGAAGTCGAATAAGAAAACGAAGAAAACAATGATGAAAAAACGGATACTTCTAGTGGCAAAACAAAGTGGCGCGTTACTATTTCTGCCAATATTGGGCGCTCTCAGGTCTTTGATCGGCGGAGCGACCAGCGTGAAGGAAGCAGTAAATGACAGCAAAGCCGCGCAATGTCAGCTCGAGGGACTGCAACGTTGCGCGTATCTCGCTCCGTACAAATATGGACGCGGACTGTATCTCCCGCCCCGGCTCATACAAACGTGGACATAGCAGTGAAGAAAAGAAAATTTCAAAGATATGATAAAAATGCCTTTGAGCGCAATTACCAACGTGCAATTGAACGAGCTTGTGAGACATATGAGGGTACTGTATTTTAGAGGTCTTTTCATGCGTGACGCGTTACCGACAAACGACGCGCGTCAAAACGAAAACGGTATCACGAATCTGGACGATGCAACGGGGCCCAGTACTCACTGGGTGGCATACGCGAAGACGAACAACCGCATCGAGTATTTGACAGTTTTGGCAATCTTCAACTGCCCAATTCGTACTATATTTCGGAAACGATGTTACGATAGAGTACAATCACGCATCCTATCAGACGTACGATCAGAGCTTCTGCGGATAGATGTATGCGGTTTCTACAAACGATCAATGCGAATTTAAAAAGTTTGATAACATGCTGTGAAATCTCCGTATTGATCGAACGCTTTTTCCGGCATGTCGCTGACGCTTACGTTGGGCGGGAAAAGCACTGTCGCAAAGAAATATTTTCTCGTCATAGATTTAATGATGACAATTACGAACTCGGTCAAGGGATTTTTGAGATTTATCACACGAACATGAACGAATCGAACAATAACTTTTATTTTGTCAAAGATGATGTGGAAATTATAATTCCCAAGGATTCGTACGAAGTGCAAGTCATAAACGAATTTTTGAAACGTGCGATTTTACGGAAACGTCCCCGCGCCATATAACGCGCCTTATAACCATTGACATAGTGTATTATGACAATAGCAACAATAATACTGATGACGGCGGAAGTGGAGAATACTCAATTACACTCCGCGCAAACTACAACACGATGAGATGCGAGATTAGATGTACATATAAAATAATCTTTTGCAAGCCCAACAGCATTGGATCGCTGCTGGGTTTCTCGTATACTGCGATCGCGAAGATAGTATAAATCGGACGTGTCGATCAACATAATGAACGTAAACGTTATTCGCATAGAGTATAACATGACCACGGGCTTGTACAGCGTGATAAAAGCGTTCACACGATATATGAATTTTTGCCGAGCGTGCCATCAGGATATAAGATATTGGAACGGCCGCAGATCATTCATCTGCCAATCATCGCACGGAATATTACTAATCTAATCATACGCGTCGTCGATCAGATAATTGCTCGATTTTTTGGAGGAGAAAAGATCACCGTTATATTACACGTAGGACGGTGACAATAATAACGCGAGCGTGAGAGACTCGTGCTGAACGGAACGGAGCGCACGCAGAGAGATAACGTATTCTTTACAAAACCGGTGACGTCACAACTCGATAACACTCATCCATCTAGATCAGGAAGAAGCTCAGCGCATCAAACATTACATTTTTACAATCTTTGGAAATCACGGTGCGCAACATTTGAGATGACTGATATTTTAAACATTGTGGATGAACTGATCTTCGACGATCTTATCGTCAAGATTGAGACTCACACGTATAACTCGTTCGCCAACACAATGTTTGGGTAAAGCTATGAGATAAGATACAACAACAGGATCTGTACACTGCCGTACAAAAGCTTTCTGTACGTCGAGGGAAAACTGACGAAGAACAATATGGTCCAGGCTGCTAACGTGGCATTGGGAATTGCGTCGCATTCATATTCGATGAGGTTCGATACAAACTCAATGTGGAAATTAATCGTAACAGAAACGTGGGCATAACTAGCATTCTCAAAAACTATGTAACAGTATCGTTTGACAAAAGTGTGATTCTGCTGAAAGCC